CCCTGAATCCTCTGGGCAGCCCTGGACTAAATTGGCCTTCAACATTGGTTCTCCACTTGTAAGGTAACTTCCGTCTCTTCATGTGCCAATATATATTTATGCCTGTATCTGTAATTTTCACTCCATGCATCTGAAGAAGTGGGTTTTTTACCCATGAAAGCTCATAAATCTGTTAGTCTTTAAGGTGCCACTGGACTTCTTGTTTTTTCTGTAAATTTAAAGTTAGAAAAGTTCTTTCAGTAACTTAAAAATACTGCAATTAAAATGGTTATTAAACTAGATTAAATAAAATGGAAAATTTCCTTTGCATTTTAGAGCCAACAACTCTTTCTGTGCCTTTGTGCATTTCTGTGCTCCATGTACCCTGTGCTGTTTACCCAGAGATTATCTTGTTTATGTTATGATTATTATACTTCATAGAATCTAATCAAGGGAATATTTCTCTTTTTATGACAAAATGTGGATGTTGAATTGCTCAGTTGCTTTTATACAACATTCTTGGATTTGAGATAGTGTGATATATTTAATAAAGTGTTTATAAAAGCTGATATAATAGTTTATCAGATCTCAGGCAGTCATAATAACAAAACCACCCTTAGCCTGAGTGTTATGTACTGTACTTTGTAATTTACAATACCGTACTTCTAAATTACTTCATAGACAAAGAAAGTTGCCTACTGAAGAATCAATCTTATAGGAACTAAAGAACTCTCTGCCTAAATATTTTTGTGTTACTTGTTCTCTGCACAAATCATCATTTATAGCTTAGATTCACACACAAATTATGCCTCCCTCTACACACAGTAATATATCCATTCTTTAAGAGGTTTTGGTGAAGATTGATATATCTTTTAAGTTCCAGTGGAACAATTGTTTTAAGCTGAAATATTCTCTAAAAATGCATAATATGTAATCAATATGATGAATGATTAAATGGGCTTAAACTGAATGTTTAAGACCTTAGAGTGAGAATCAAATGAAGAAATGGTTTGAGTAGGAGTGAATAGCTCATGAGCACGTTAATAGGGAATAGGTGCTTTCATTTGTAGGTTGCCAGTTCAAATCCATACCAAGTTATTATCATCTGTTTGGTGGGCTGAGCAAACTCCTTTTGTGGATAGGTTTCCAGTCTTGCACCAGGCTGCCAAACTGCTCCGGAGAGATCCCTTTTAGTAACCTATCTGCAAACCACTTATTTGGAGACCAAATATACAGTCCAGGATAGTGCTAGTCACTTCTTATGTTGCACTGGATTTCATAGGGGCTGCTCACCCCTTATGCATCCTCTGCTTGCTACTATATGGAAAGGACAGAAGGGAGTATGCTGGGAGTGGAAAATGGTTCTTTCAGCCCCCAAGCAGAAATATTACAAACACCGAACTTGCTAATTGGCTGTTAACCCTTTGGGCGTCTAGTATTTAGTTCAACCTCACACTAGAAGTAACTATTCTTCTATAGTTACTTCTGATGTGGGTCTGCAGCTCAAAGAATATATATAAGTATATTAAATGTCTTAGATCATCCTGTCCAATTATGTTGTGGCCTCCTAGGGTGAAAGAGGAAAACCATCAGATCTGCAAATCCTGCACTGCCCCAGCAGTTTTGGGGTTCTATATGAAATCATCAGATTCATGACCCCTTTATAAACAAATTGACCCACTACTTCAGTCTTCTTTCCACATTTCCAACAGCATCCCATGTCTGCAGAGTTGGCAGTAATTCTCTACTAAAAGAACCCTTTGGAGTCTAATCCTCTGACTACCAGACCTTGATTTGGGGAAGGATAGTGTGTGCATCTATGCGTGACTGCAAGATCTCACAGGCAGGTGCATGTAGATACTCACACTTATTTGGTATTTGTAATGTTTCTCACGCAGAGCCATATAGGGCTTACTATCATGCCCAGGAGTTTCCAATAAGATTTCCAAAAGTGCAGGATTGGGTGATAAATTTGCACCATTGTTGGCAGAGTCAGAGGAGAGGTTTAGAAACTTCAGTAACCTCTCATCCCTTGAGATGACTGTTTCATATCAGGACAAAAACAGCCTGGCAGGGTAGCATGGTAAAGCTTGCATTGCTGCTGAGTCTGTGGTTAAATAGAAGACTTCACCTCACTTGCCATCTACAGGCTATTTTAAAATACACTTTAAAATGATTTTGAGAAAGACCATAAAATAAATGGTTTTGATTTCTTTAAAGCATGTACTTGTTAAAATGCAATCAGGAATCTGCTGTATGAAGATTAACTTCCTGGGTTATCAGAGTACTTCCAGTTTGGTTTGGTTATGCCCCATAAAGATGTAATCTTGCCCACAGAAGTTGTAAGCAATAAATAGATTGAGGGATAAGAGAATCAATACTTTAGGGGTCATAATTGAAAGGGATAGTCTCAAACCTTCCCAGAACACTAAGTAGATATATTTACTTCTTCCTTATCAGAGATGGAAGTACAAGTAGTTGAAGAGCTGCCTTGAAGAAGAGATTTATAGGTATGTCTATGAGTCATGTGTAAAAACATTTGCTCAACAAAGTTTGTTAAAAAGTTTATATAATACTTTGAGCAGTCAGAAAAATCCACACATTGGCCTGGAGGGGTTAGAAGGGCATGGTATTCGATTAACAACTACTCCAGTAGAAGGAATTTATAATGAAGATGATCCAAGATAATTCTAAAGCCACCTAAAGTCCTGTGCAGTAAAGCAATACAGTTTATTAATCCACACAGAATATGTAGGACACCTGATAGCCTCCAAAGAGTGAAACCAATATCCGTAGATCAATATCAAGCCCTGTCTACATTAGGGACTTTTGCATGGATGTAGCTTCACTGGTGCAAATCTCCAGTGTGGATGTGCTGCACTGCTGGAATGTAAGCAAAGCAGTGCTTTCCATTGGTGCAGCACAACTACATTGGGGATTGTGCTGCTGCAGCTACACCTGTGCAAAAATCCCCAACACAGACAAACCTTTAGAAATGCACATGCAGTCAGAGCGACAGACACTTCTGTGCATATGATGTGATAGTGGCCTAAGGTGTGGTTGCTGCATCAGCTCTGGCACTCTATAGAGCTTTAATTAAAACAGCACTGATTCAAAATGGACTTTCCCTAGGGGGCCGCTTGGTGTTGTCTAAGTGGAAGTCTTAATCATGGCCCCTGCTTGCTCTCATTAAGACCACTCCTTTTGTCAATGGAAGGGAGATGGAAAAACCCACCCAGTTATGGTGTGACACACAGGAATACTCATAAAAGACTAAACTTTATTTCCTGGCACCAGCCATCTGACATGGGTGAGACTCTAGGCAGCCCTCTATTCATACCCTACACACTGCTGCAAGGATTTTTGTACAAAATATATCTTGGGAGGTATCATTTGAAAATCAATAACACACTGGTCAATAATATCATTGTGAAATGTATGTGGCAATGCTGTGTGTGAAATTATGGATACTCACTAATATTGTGCTTTAAAGTCTGTGACTAAAAGATGTTTAAATCATGCATGTCACGGGACTTTTTTCCTCCAGAAAAAGAAAGAGGCCAACACCTCAAACCAGATGTGGTCCAAATTCAGTGGGCTATTCATTCATAGCAGAGGTTGCAGCAGGAGAAGATAATTTGCATAGTAACAACCACTAGAGAGGGAAGAACCACCATGGATTTATCTTCCAGACCTCATGGCTCTTTTAGTCAGCATGAACTAATAAATTTTATCTGGGGTACCCTTCAGAAGAACACAATTCAAAGGTTCATTGAACTAGTAAGAGAGGGAGAGTGTACCCCTAAGTTATCCTCCACTTTAAGGAGTCAAAGAAACCAAGTAATTTGGTCTCTGTGATGGGTCCAGGGCCTGGCCAGGCCAGCCAGTGAAAAGCTAGAAAGAAGACTGGGTGAGAGAAAACAACTTGAACAAAGACTTTACCTTGCTAGATTGAGGGCAGATCTACACTACAGCAGGGATCGATGCTCTGAGTAAAGGCCCACCAAATTGACTGCAGATCGCTCTCCAGTCGACCCCGTACTCTACTCCCAATGAGAGGAGTAAGGTAAGTCAATGGGAGATTTTCTCCTGTCGACCCCTGGAGGTGTAGACCCCATGGTAACTTGACCTAAGGTACGTTGACTCCAGCTACGTTATTCACATAGCTGGAGTTGCATAGTGTAGGTCAACTTACTGCAATAGTGTAGACATAGCCTAAGTTTCAGAGTTTTAAATGTGTGTTTTCACTTTCATTTGCTATCTGTACTTTTATTTCTTTCCTTGGTATCACTTAATCCATGCTCTTTTGTTAATAAACTTGTTTTGCTCTCATTATAAATCATCAGTGCTGTTTAAGTTCAGTAAAATATGTGCTTCTAGTAAACTGACAGGTTGGAATGTTTTACTGTCTCTGTAGAGGCAGCAAACCTATTACTTTTTCTGTGAAGGTCCAGTGTGAGGGACTGGACTCTGCACAAGTACTATTTTGGGGTGAATATGGGTCTGGAAGGGTACTAAGATCAGCCTGCCAGGAGTAACCAACTTGGGCAAAACCAAAGTAAGGCTTGTGGGCTGCTGTCAGTCTGTTGGAGTCAGAGCTCTGAACCAAAGCTGAATAGCCACAAGTCACACAGGGTTACAAAGCAGATGTTGACCAAACCCCTTCCTGGCCTGGGTGAACTCCAAAATGTTACAATGGGTCAGTGGTACAAAAGTTAATTTTGTCATGTGACTCCCGAGGTGGTCTCACCTTCTTGCTTCTTGGGGGGATAGTAAGAGAAGGAAAGAGCCACAACTGACAGGTGTGGCAGTGAGGATGAACACTAAAAGAGAAATGACTGATTGGGTGGCTGGAATGTTGAATGAATTATTTGTAGGGGGAGGAGGAATATTGACTGGATGGATATTTTGGCAGTGATGGATGGGAAAGAGAACTGTATTAGTGGCTTGAGTAGCTACTTTAAAGTTTTGCTTGGAAGTCCACCCACACATTGTTATGCCATTGTCTTCTTGCTTTTCAGAAATTGCGGGCGTGACGAGCAGAGAAGATTCTCAGTGCAACCTTAAAAGGGGAAGAGGAAGAAAATATCCTCACTGCTCTGTTCTTTGTGGTGATCATGGTGGTACTGAAGAAGCTGCTGTTGACTCCAGACAGCACCTTGAAAGACAGAAGTCCTTGTGTCCACTTTCTCTGGCCTGTGTACAAGTGCAGAAGGTAAATGCATTGGGTCTGTATGTGAGTGGAGGAGACAATTGAACTGGGGGTTGTGAGTGGAGAAGAGTGTGTCAGTGGGATGGTGGCAAATATAAAGGTGAGGAGGCAAATGTATTTGGGGTTCAGTGGAGCGTTGTGTTGGGTGGAATTTAAGAGTAGAGAGGTAAATGGGATAGAAGAGAGAATGAGTTTGTTAGACATAAGTAAAAATGAAACGCAGGAGGAGAAGAAAAAAAGATTTGTTGAGGGCTGGAGTAAGATTACAGGGTATAGAGGAGGAAAAAGAGACTAGGAGGAAGGGAGAAAGGAAGGATGGAAAAATAGGAGAGAGAAAAAAGAGTAAGAAAGACAAGGAGAAGCAGATTGAAAGAACAGGGGTAGAAAAGAGGGAGAGAACAAAGTGAGAGGAATCTGAAGAAGTTGGAGGAAGAGAGAAGGGAAGAGGAAGAACAGATACTGAAAATACTGGAGGAAAAGAGACACGAAGTTCTATAATGGCAGCAAAAATAGTGGGTATAAGGATGGGAAACTGTTGAAGAACCTTACTATAATAGATATGAAGTATTGGTGTGTTGTATATACGTGGTCTAGTGTTCTGTGTATGCATATAGATAGTATGTGCATGTTTTTATATGAGTTGTACACTTGTACATTAATAGATTCCAAGGCCAGAAGGGACCATTATGATCATCTAGACCTCCTGTATAACACAGGCCATAGAGCAACAGAGGGTCCTGTGGCACCTTGGTGCCACAGGACCCTCTATTGCTTTTACAGATTCAGACTAACACGGCTACCCCTCTGATACAGGCCATAGAACTTCCTAAAAATAATTACTAGAATACAGCTTTTAGAAAATTTACACTTAGAAAAACATCGGTCTTGATTTAAAAATAGTAAGTGATGGAGAATCCACCATGACCCTTGGCAAATTGTTCTAGTGGTTAATTACCCTCACTGTCAACAATTTATGCCTTATTTCTAGTCTGAATTTGTCTAGCTTAAACTTTCAGCCACTGGCTTGTACTATATCTTTCTCTGCTAAACTGAAGAGCTCACTATTAAGTATGCGTTCCTCATGTAGATACTTATAGACCATAATCAGATCACCCCTTTAACCTTCTCTTTGTTAAGATAATAGATTGAGCTCTTTGAGTCTATGACTTGTTTTCTAGGCATGTTTTCTAATCCTTTAATCATTTTTGTGGCTCTTCTCTGAACACTTGCCAATGATCAACATCCTTTTTTAAATTGTGGACACCAGAACTGGAGGCAGTATTCCTGCAGTGATTGCACCAGTGCCAAATACAGAGGTAAAAGAGCCCCTCTGTTCTTATGGACCTGACTCACGGTTCAGGCTGAACTTTGATTTACCCTTGTGCTTTCCTTATTCCAGGCCTGACCCTTGCTGTAAATCAAAGCAGCCTTAAAGCTGCTCTAACTTGTGCTGGTTGCCCATGGCCACAAGGGACTATTCTAGCACCTGAGAATAGCCAGAACACAGAAACAGTCTGGCCATACCTCCTGGCCTCCGATCATGGCTCCTCTGCTAGGGGCTGTGATGGGGACAGTGTTGTTACATCTGTTCTATGTCACCTGGGGAATCCCCTGCACCCTGAGTGTGGCCCAGTGCCTGGATCAGCTAGTATCAGAGCTCTGTTATGCTCCTCTAGTGGCACAGAGGGGCCAAAAGACAATGGAGAGTCAGGCCCATCTGTGAATATTTTTTCCCTCTGAGATTTGTAATGAAAAATCAATTATAAAAAAGTTTAACCAGGGCTTACTGGAAGCTTGTCAGTGAGTGTCTTTTAAACTCTCTCTCCAATCAATGGAAAATATTCCTGTGAATCAAATTCTGCCCTCTCTACATGTGTTAAATACCCATTAAAGTTGATGGCTGAGCAAGTCTGAGGGCAGAGTCTAACCCCCATGTAAATTCATCCTTTCTGATTCTAGCTGGTGGTGGTGTTATAAAGGTGGATCTTATTGGATTACAGTATGTTCACTGCAATCTACGTCAAAGGCACACATATTCCACAATATTCATAGTGGGGCAATGTAATAGGAAACAAAACATCCTTAAAGCAGCTCCTTTAAAAAAAATGAAAGCCCAGCAACACACTTATCTTTCACCCACATAAAACCACACCATTACCACTGAGATGGCCTAGTGCTTGGATGAGATCAGCCCTTGGATGAAGAAGAGCTGAGTGAAGCTGAATCCAAGCAAGAGAGAAGTTATATTGGTGGACAGGGGAAAGCACTTGGAAGACTTTGCAGCCATGCTGCAGTCTCCTTTGGTTGATGATATGCATCCACAGTCAGTCTGTAGTTTAGGTGTGCTCCTGGATTCCTCATTGACACCGAGTTCCCATCTAGCAGCAGCATCCACGAGTAATGCTTTCTACCATCATCAGTTGGCAAGGAGATGCTGTCACATCCTGGCAGATGATGAGCTGACAAATATACAGACTTTTGTCACCTGCTATCTGGGCTACAGTGAGGCAATATACAGGGCCCATTCCGGGTGCCAACTTCCAATGAATGACATACTGCTCGGGGTTGGTTTTTTTTTGCTTGGCCACTTTGGGAAATGCCAAAAATATTTCCCCTCACCCTAGCTGGCAAAATGCCTAGGGCTTCTCCTATCTAAACAAAGGCTTCTGCGCTTAGGAAATTCCAACCAGAGGTGTAGTGGAGCTGAAACACACTGGAGCAGAGTCCTGACACTTTTTCTGCAATGGAGTATGACATTTTGTTCTCAGAATGGAGCCCTTTGAACAGCATGACCATACATCTGCGTCTAAGGTCATGTCAGTGGGGGCATTCTTGTAGTGTGTAGGCCATTCGGGACTACATGACGGACTTCAACTGGCACAGAATGCTGCAGCATGTATCCTCAGCAACTTGGGCTACTGCAAGCACATCACACTGGCCTTCCACTCTCTATGATGGCTTCCCATAAACTATTGAGTCAAAGTTCAGGGTCTGTTTTCTAATCTTAAGATGCTCAATAGCCTGGGTCTAGGATAGCTAAAAGATTTCCTAAAGCTCCAGGATGAATACTGCAGTCAACAACTCTGCTTCTCAGGCACAATGGAAATTTCTACTACAAGGGTAAAGCTCATCTGTGAAGGAGACAGCATTATCTTGGGGACAGGTCTGAGAGTGTTGAACACCCACAAAAGCGAACGATGATCACAAATGACACCACTTTTCACTCCAAGGGCAAGACACACTTGCTTGAATTTGCCTTCTTTAGCATAAACATATAATAGAATCATAGAATATTAGGGTTAGAAGAGACCTCAGGAGGTCATCTAGTCCAACCCCTTGCTCAAAGCAGGACCAACATCAACTAAATCATCCCAACCAGGGCTTTGTCAAGCCGGGAGTTAAAAACCTCTAAGGATGAAGATTCCATCACCTCCCTAGGTAACCCATTCCAGTGCTTCACCACCCTCCTAGTGAAATAGTGTTTCCTAATATCCAACCTAGACCTCCACCACTGAAACTTGAGACCATTGCTTCTTGTTCTGTCATCTGCCACCACTGAGAACAGCCTAGCTCCATCCTCTTTGGAACCCCCCTTCAGGTAGTTGAAGGCTGCTATCAAATCCCCCCTCACTCTTCTCCAGACTAAATAAGCCCAGTTCCCTCAGCCTCTCCTTGTAAGTCATGTGCCCCAGCCCCCTAATCATTTTTGTTGCCCTCCGCTGGACTCTCTCCAATTTGTCCACATCCCTTCTGTAGTGGGGGGACCAAAACTGGACATAATACTCCAGGTGTGACCTCACCAGTGCCAAATAGAGGGCAATAATCACTTCCCGCAGTCTGCTGGCAATGCTCCTACTAATACAGCCCAATATGCCGTTGGCCTTCTTGGCAACAAGGACACACTGCTGACTCTCATCCAGCTGCTTATCCACTGTAATCCCCAGGTCCTTCTCTGCAGAACTGCTGCTTAGCCAGTCAGTCCCCAGCCTGTAGTGGTGCATGGGATTCTTCCTTCCTAAGTGCAGGACTCTGCCCTTGTCCTTGCTGAGTCTCATCAGATTTCTTTTGGCCCAATCCTCCAATTTGTCTAGGTCACTCTGGACCCTATCCCTACCTTCCAGTGTATCTACCTCTCCCCCCCAGCTTAGTGTTATCTGTGAAGTTGCTGAGGGTGCAATTCATCCCATCATCCAGATCATTAATAAAGAAGTTGAACAAAACCGGTCCCAGGACCAGTCTGCTTGATACCAGCTGCCAACTAGACATTGAGCAGTGTGTACATTTAAAAACAGAAAACAATGCTCCAAAATGCCCTACCAACAAAACACTGTGCTGCTCACACAATTCTCCTTCTGGAGAGAGGATATATGACTGATTTTAGTCAGGTCACTTAATGCACCACTGGAAGATGCTCAGATACTATGGTGATGAGGGTGGTATAAGAACCCACACAGAATAGACCAAAATAGAAACCAGTGCATTCGTGTTGCATTCCTGATAGCATAAACCCTCTTCACCTCCATATTTGTGTTAAGTTTCACTAGTAAATGATATATCTATCAACAGTAGGAGAACAAGGATGTTCCAGTGGTGAGGTTGATAGCTGAGACTTGGGATACTCATGTTCAGTTCCCAGATTTGCTACAGACTTCCAGTGTAATCTTGAGCTAGTAATTTAGGCACCTAAATACCTTTGAGGGTCTGGGCCTCAGTCTCTCTCTGCCTCAATTCCCCATCTGTAAAATGGAGATTTATTAGTACCCCTACCTACCAACAGTATTGTGAGGCATTCAAAGTCTACAGTGGTGGGGCCATATAAAGGACCATTTTATACTCTTTAAAAAACAAAAGAAAAAATCCCATAAAGATTGAGAACACCTTTATGCTGAGCCTCACCCTGTACTTGCAAAGACATTTGGTTACAATTAGAGATGATAGGTCAAACCAGAACTGTTTATCCAAACCTCTGTGAACTTTGGTGGTTCAGATAAAATGAAACCCAGACCTGAGTTAGCCCAGGGTTTTGGTTGTGCAAATTCAAACCTCCACCCACAACGTTTTCCTAAACCAAAACCATCCCAGTTTTTGTCCATCTCTAGTTGCAGTGCAATTCAAGTTTTGTATTCTTCTATTCCCCCCACCCCGCAACACACACCACCACACAGGAAAAATATGAACAGATTTGAAGTTTGACTGATTTTGTGAGGTTGACTTGAGGTCAGTGAAAAATTGATAGCAACTTTTTAGATGAAAAAATCATCAAAGCTAAAGGAAGCTTCTCAGAGTGGGATTTAATAGCAGCTATCATATTGCCTTCTATGCCTTGACCATTTCTTGTGCAGCTGTTTTATTTTAAAAGATTTCAACCCCCACCCCACATGTATGGTTCTATGCACTGACCTAAGTACACACACCCAAGTACTTTGGTCACTCATGATAACTATAAACCCTTCAGTGAACTACCAGAAAGGTAGTTCAAATGGAAATGGTGAAATTCAATATAGCGTTTAACTAAGTCACTGTCTAAGGTTAAGCCCAAAAAACCAATCAGCAGCACTGGGAGGAAAGGCAAATATATTAATTAATTGGAACCCGGATGCCAGATATGTGACTTTTCCTGATACCTGTCAAGTAACCATAAGAGTAATTCAGTGTGAATCAAGCAAATGTGCCTCAACAAATTAATTCTTTTATAAAGAAATAATTTAGATCTAGATTTGTGCACAAAGGGTAGGATTTTAAAAATGTCTAAGTGATTTAGGAGCACAAGTCCCACTGCCTAGTTCTTAAGTCAATTACAATGGAATTTTCAAAGCACTTAAATGAGTTAGGTGCCTCACCCCATTGAAAGTCAATGGGAGTTAGGTGCCTTACTCACTAGGGCACTTTTGAAAATTCCACCCTGAAGTGCTTTTGAAAACCAATCTAAAGGGCCTAATTTACATCAAACACCAATGGAACTCCTTTGATATCAATAAGGTTACTCTGGTGTAAATGAGATCAGAATTGGGGACAAAGTGTCTAGGAATTAGAACGTTGGCAAGCGTGGTTCTCTCTTGAACAGGTTCATTTAAATCAGCAGAATAGTTGTCAAGGCATCTGGGAATTAAATCGATCTTTTGAAAGTCTTTTAGAATATATTTTTTATTCTTAAAAAAAAATAAAAAGCAGTTGAAGGCTGGGGTTCTCAAAAGTATTCAGCAATGGCCCAACTCTGCTCCCATTGAAGTCAATGGGAGTTTCTCAGTTTACCGGAATGAAGCGTAGGCTTGTGCTACGAGCTTTGGAAAAAGCTCACCCAAAGTCTTTTAACACTCCCTCAATAGTCTGTCCAAAAAGTAAATAATTCCTTTACCCTCTAATCTAGCAATAAGTGAGTCTGCTAAAAATATTTTTTGAATGATACATTTCACAGTTATTTGGCATGTTGAATATACAGTAAGATCATATATAAAATATACATTACTTCTCCCCAACTATTTAATATTAATATGTTAGTTCAGGAGTTAGAAACTAGTTTAACTCTGGGCTTAAACTAATGTAAGGTCAAAATCAGGCTTTAACTGTGTTAAATAGCCCTAATTGGAATGCATTTTCCTTATATGCAGATTTTTAATAATTAAAATTCCCCGTCAGCTAAGAGCTCACTCATGCTCCCACAGACGTCAACGAGAATTTTGCTATTGATGCTGGGGGGGGGGGGCTTTATTGGGGGGATGGGACGGAGGCTTCTTTTCTCACGTATTTCTTTACCCTCCCCTGATATCCTGTCTCTCTTGTATAGCACTCAGATCCAAGGCATTGCTGCTTCAAGATGCTGTGCTCCACAACCTCCAAGAGTAGGTTATTATTATAAATTTTCTAAATTAAACTATTCTTAATTTTTATTTAAATTACAGATTTATTCCTAAAACTAATTACTGTTCTGAGCATTCCAAAGGGTCCTGATACTGTATCACCACTCATTTTATGTCCAATTAAGCAGTTTATAATAATTTTTCTGAATTTAAGTCCCGTCCCAAAGTTTTTCTGCAAATTTCCAATTTAAGTGTTGCAAGCATTTCAGGCAACTGAGGAAAAAAAAAAATCTCTGGTCATAGTACATTCAGAGCTGAAAACATTTTAATAAATGTATTTCAAATCCAAAGGTCTGATTCTACAGCCTTCCCTTATCTGAACAGGTCCAAATAGTCTTAGTATGTTTTTAAATACAGTGTGTGCAAAAATCACTTGTGTACATTTCAAAACTACACATACCTGTGAATTTCTGAAGGATGTTGATCTACTTCAGAAGAACAGAAGAGTTAAATTAATGTAATTTTCAACATTTTTGCCACTTGAAATTAAGGGTTTGGTCATTTTTAATATGTTCTATTAATAATTACATATAAAAACCATTAAGAGACTTATTTAGGTTGCAAAGTCAAACAGTTGGACATTAAGAAATACCAGAGTTAATATTTCTCATGCAACCTTAATTCAGACACTGTTATGATACAGTCTTTAATTACATGATCATTTTTTTTCCAGAAGACTCTCCTCAAAAGTTGTACAACCAGCATTCATTTACTGCCACGTCAGTAAGTGGGCATAACTCACATACCCATAGTGGAATAGTTTCATATATATTTTGGTCTCTTTACTCTTCTTTGCTTTTGGCCCCTCTACTGATAAGCACAATAGATATGAAGTTCTTGAAGGTGATGGAACACTAGAAGGCAAATGGACATGGATAAAGGAAACTTTTACTAAAACTTGTGAATAAGTGTTGGGATTCAGGAAGAAACATCACAATGAATGGTTATCTAAGGATACATGGCAGAAAATAGAAGAAAGTTGATTTAATTTCAGTTTGATTTTGCAATCAAGAACAAGAACACAGACACAGTGACTCTAGGAGAAAAATGCTATAAAGAACAAAGAATCCAAAAAATTGCTAGGAAAGACAAACAAGACTTCTTAGACAAAATGGCAACAGATGCACAGACCACGGCAGCAAAAAATGACCTGGTACATTATATTAGACGGTTGTCAGGAAGAAAAACAAATACCAGTCTACCAGTTCAAGACAATGAATGCAACTTAATAATTCTGATGTCTTTGTTAAATATGTGGAAGCAGTACTCCACTCAACTACTGAATGGTTAGCTAGTGGCCCAATATACAGGA